ATGTTAATAATTTTAATAAAATAAGAGGGATCATGAAACTGGCATGTTACTGTTTATTTAATACTCCAATTCAAAAAGTTTACACCCACAGTCTCTTAATAACCTCTTGGGCATTAGAGGTTCTGCCCTAAATTGGTTCCAGTCTTATCTTACGAACAGGGGTTTCTCAGTTAATACACGAACAGGAGTTTCTCAGTTAATATTGGCAAATTTCACTCTTCTTCTGTACCTTTGACCTGTGGGGTCCCTCAAGGCTCTACTCTAGCTCCCATGTTATTTTCGTTGTATATGCTTCCCCTCGGATCTATTTTTGAGAACTATGGTATACGTTTTCATTGTTATGCAGATGACACACAAATATATCTTCCTTTGAAACATAAGAATGTATTAGACCCGTTGGCCGCCTGCCTCTTGGATGTTAAAGCATGGATGTCCCTACATGTTTTAAGTCTGAATGAGAGTAAAACAGAGATTGTGGTGTTTACCCCTTCTGATACATACTGTATACCAAATCTAAATCTTGGTGTTCTGGCACCTTATGTAAAGCCGTACGTGAAAAATCTGCGTGTGGAATACAAATATTTTTTACATTAAAAATAATCATAAAAAAATATAAATATGTACAAAAACAAATAACAATTACAACTATATGCTGGTTAAGAAGAGATTAAATGTACCAAAATTAAACTAAATGTATTTAATTTGATCTTGGTGTTCTGGCACCTTATGTAAAGCCGTACGTGAAACATCTGGGTGTGGTGTTGGACAGTGCCTTAAAGCTTGATAGGCAAGTTAACCAAGTTGTGAAGTCAAGCTTCTATCAGTTGTGAACACTGGTAAAAATGAAGTCCTTTCTTTCTTTTACTATAGTCTAAAATTTGAAGTGATGTGTTCACTTTTTCATAAAAGCATGCGCCATAACCAAATTATGTATTTTGTGTCATATCTCCTGAACCAAGCAAGGTAACACAAAAAAGGTGATGTCTACCCCTATGTTTTGATGGTCAATGATTACAATGATACCATATACAAAAACATGAACTGTTCATGTGAAGAGTTAATGGTGAAATCAGCAATGTGATAAGGAAATAACAGTATCTGAGCATCACAGTACTATTAATTTGTTACATTTATATAGCGCTTTTCTGGGTACTCAAAGCGCTTTACATGGAAGGGGGAATCTCCTCAACCACCACCAATGTGTAGCATCCACCTGGATGATGCGACAGCAGCCATTTTGTGCCAGAACGCCCACCACACACCAGCTTAACTAATATTTTATTCAATAGTACAATAAAAGATTTTTTTCAAGAATACAGTCATATATTTCAGAGATATAAAAAAAAATATCATCTCAAATAAGTGTACGTTTCCTTACCTCTCAGGCACAGTCGGGTAGGCAGTAGTATGTTTCCAATACATTCTTGTTCTCTCGCAACAATGCTCTAACATCACGCAGACGGCAAAGCAATCTTGCTAAGCTACGTCCTATCTGCACCTCTTCTGCTTCACCTCTGTCATTTTCTGTGGGTCTCTGGAATTGTCAGTCAGCTGTCAACAAACTTCATTCTGGCCACTGCTTCTCAGTCTACTCTTAGTATCTTGGGCTTGACTGAGACCTGGATTCATCCAGACTACTTCGCAACCCCTGATGTTTTCTCTAACAACTTCCCTTTCTCTCACACCCCCTGTCAGGTTGGAAGGGTACTGGTCTTCTCTTTTCTAATAATTGGAAATACTCAACCTACTCTTCCCTATGCAATACATTTTTTTTTTTGTTTCATGCTATTATGGTAACAGCTCCTGTTAAACTCCATATTGTAATGATTTATCGCCTTCCTGGTCAACTGTGGGCACCTTTATAGAGAAGCTGTATGGGCTGCTGTCCTCATTCTCTGTTGGGTGGCTCACCAATGTACTAGATTTCTCTAATGCAAATATTAAGTAGGCTTGACCAAAATTTGTGTGGGGAGAATATTTTTTTGAAGATGTAGTGTATCAGTTCTTCAATAGCGATGTTAGCATGTCTTCCTTCAAACAATCTTAACCCTTGTATGAATCCTAGCTTCTCCCAAAGTTCTGTCTGTGGGATAGAATTTTATACCTGAAGACAAAAGGGCTAGAAAAAAACAGATACTGTTAGGACCTTCCTGCTGGAGATCCTTTACTGTATTTTTGCTGAGCAGTCTTTTGGGTGGCTCACCAATGTACTAGTAAATCTACTGTAAAAAATTAAGTAGGCTTGAACAAAATTTTTGTGGGGAGAAGAATTTATTGAAGATGGTAGTGTAGCAGTTCTTCAATAGTGATGTTAGCATGTCTTCCTTCAAACAATTTTTCCCTTGTATGAATCCTAGCTTCTCCCAAAGTTCTGTCTGTGGGATAGAATTTTATACCTGAAGACAAAAGGGCTAGAAAAAAACAGATACTGTTAGGACCTTCCTGCTGGAGATCCTGCAATCTACAAGACGTTCCTGAGGAATGCTGTTCCTTTGTTATTCTAATGGAATGGACCATTTGGTTCACACCTTTAAAGACACAGTTACATTATTTATTTCACAGAATGACCAACTGAATGTTAACCAATCAGGTTTCAGCAGCGGCCAGTCAACTGAGACTGCTTTACTGTCAGTAAGTATAGCCTTGCAGATTGCGAAAGCTGATTCCAAATCATCTGTTCTTATTATGCTGGATCTTGCAGATTGCGAAAGCTGATTCCAAATCATCAGTTCTTATTATGCTGGATCTATCTGACACTTTTGACACTGTGAATCATCAGATTCTCCTGTCTACCATCACCGGATCTGCACTCCACTGGGTTGAATCTTATCTCACAGGTAGGTCTTTCAGGGTTTCCTGGGGAGGAGAGGTATCCAACGAACATCAACTGGTCACAGGGGTTCCTCAGGGATCAGTTCTTGAACCCCTCCTCTTCACCATATACACTACATCACTGGGACCCATTATACAAGCACATGGTTTCTCCTACCATTGCTATGCTGATGACAACACAGCTCTATCATTCATTTCAACCAGATGATCCAACGGTAGCTGCATGGATCTCAGGCTGCCTGGCAAACATCTCGGCATGGATGAAGGAACATCACCTGCAGTTCAACCTGGCAAAGACTGAGCTTCTCGTTTTCCCTGCCACTCCGACTCTACATCATGAGTTCATCATCTTGCTAGGTTCATCAAAAATTATTCTTTGGTGACCAGCTGACCTTCAAGGACCATATTGTAAGGACATCTCGATTATGCAGGTTTGCATTGCACAACATCAGGAGGATCAGACCCTTCTAAACAGAGCATGCTGCACAACTTCTTGCCCAGGTCCTTGTCATTTCTAGGCTGGACTATTGCAGTGCTCTTCTGGCTGAACTTCCATCATTGGCAATCAAACCTTGACAAATGATTCAGAATGCAGTGGCACGACTGGTCTTCCATGAGCCCATGCCACACCTCTCTTTATCTCTCTGCACTGGCTACCGGTTGCAGCTCGCATCAAGTTCAAGACATTGATGTTTGCGTACAGAACAGCCACAGACTCAGCACCCTCCTACTTCCTCCTCACTCTTACGAATCTACATTCCTTCCAGAAGCCTGAGATCTGTAAGTAAGCGATGTTTCGTGGTAACATCACAGAAAGGCATTTTTGTTCACTTTTCCTGGCTGGTGAAATGATCTTCCCACAATCGCAGTAATTAACAGAACTCCCGACACTTTATCTGACAGCAACACTAATTTAATCCCATACCCGACCCATCTGACATAAAAACTGGTACCCGAACCACACCTGCATTAAATCTCCTACATAAGGTAGAAAAAACTCATTTATTAAAACTTTTATTCAAATTGTGAATAGATTAAATACAGAAAGCAA